GGGAGTTTTTTTTTTGCTGTGCATGTACTGATTTTGTGTCATGGATGTATACACCATATCCTTTGTTTTTTCTTTAGTTATAAAATAATAGACATATATCAGGACTGATAAAGTCTCATTGACTATGGAGCGCGAGATAATATATGAGGAAAAAGTGTATATACTGACATAATGTATGTAATCATCTATTAGGACTGAAGAGTAAACTGAACAAGGTACAGGAAGAAAACCGAACTGCTACGGAAATCAAGGGACATCATTAGCAACTCACACATTTCAAATTGGTTATAGTGTTCAGTGTTGATTATCAATTGTTGTCATTATCTGCTTTTTTTTTTAGCACAGGTATGTATTTGTCCCTTAATTTTCCTGTGTCTTCGTTTTTCTACCTTGTTCCTATTCTTCTGCCTTATTACCATAATTATATTTCACGATACTTTCCAAAACAAGGGATCTTTGCTTAATCTTCTCACTTCCCGTCCCCAACTAAAGCATTCCTTCTCATATCCTCATCACACGCTTCGTTGAAAAAGGATTATCGAATCCTTCTCATACCTATAATCGCATTCCTCTTTCAATGAGGAACATTTTAAACAAGTTACGAGATGTAACAATTCGAGTATAATTTAAATCAAGAGACAAGAGCACAAAATTGAAAAGAAAAAACCTTTATTTGTATAGTGCGTATTATGAATTACATCATAGTTAAAAAAAATCATATCAAACACAAGGACACAAAAAGTACGTCTGTAAACGTTTGCAGTGAATATTAAGTTGCTCTCCCGTATTACAACAGTACCAGTATTCACACAGGTTACAATTACAATTATCATAGTAAAATCAAATCTTTGAGCTATTTGCCAACAACTGCTTGTGAAGTTATCAGTTACATGACTTTTGTAAGGTATATCTTAAACCCTGATTTTATTTTTTACATGTACTGACGTCTGTGTCGAATAGCTAGGACCCTTTTCAAGCTTCTAATTATTTGAAAATGACGCACCTGCTATTTTGTAGACTATCCTTTTTTCAGTTTCTCGTAATTGATGTAAAACTGTTATTTATAAATTTATTGATGTATATAATTTAAATATTTCAAAGAATCATCATTTGTCTGAATACTAGAAATGCGTAAATTTCGAATTTAACTTAAATTTATATATTACAATCAAACTTTTGTGTTTCTAAAAGAAAACAATTCTCATCAAGAAAAGGATGGATCTTTTTCACAAATGTCTATGTATATCACCCTTTTTAAAGATAAAACGTACAGGAAGTAATTTAGTTCTTTTTTAATGCATTTTATTATTATTTTTTTTTGTTGACACCACCAACAACTCCGTATCCTGCTGCAATAATGAACAGGAATGAGATGTCACTTTCGCAATCTACATTTAGACCCAACCCAACTCAAGTGAGAACTTCTAAGTCTCTTGGAATATTGGTCTGAATATTTTCTAGGTCTGCAATTGAGAGTCCAACTTCAGTACCAAGTTGAAAGTATACCTGACCAAATCTTGATGATAATGCATCTAAAACCTCATCTGTTGGAATACAATCTAGATATGTCAAAGGAATGTCTGGAAAATAAGAATCAATAAAAAAAGTAGTTTTGAAATATTGTCTGTCGGATACATTTTGAAAACATGAGGCTACGAAAAACCTGCATTGTTCACCTTAAAATCTAAACAATTACGACAAAGTTTCAACTCTTTCTGTTAATTGTTTCAAATATATACTTTTATATTTCAAAATAGTAGCAACAAAGATGAAAATGGGGATATCTCTTATAGCGAGTTGATATTTTGATTTCAATCATATTTGACCATTAAAGAGATCAGCGACTCCTGTCATTAACAAATTAGAAGTAAAAACACTCGTTTGTCATGAACAATTCAGTATAATTTTAAACGAAAAATCTTTTGTGAAAAAAGTCGCAGGTCTTGCTGTTTTTATTTCTAAAGAGTCTACTAAAATTTTCAGGATAACAGATTAAGATTGCAAAATGTGGAAAAATATCCATGTATGGGTAATAACCTCCAATAATATGTCAATGGGCCTTTCTTTCATGTTAACCTATTCTTAAAATCTACATTGTTCATTAAAGTTTATCACTATCACATGATCAATAAAAATAAAATGGCTCATTAACTGCAAAAAAATGTTTTTCCAATTAGGATAAAAATTGCACATTCAGATCAATGCTAGTGCAACAAGGCTTCAGTCATTTCATTGACAATACACACGCTTCAAACCTATGTCTTATGAAACCCTTATTAAAGATCAATGGGTCATCATAAAATAATCATCTAGAAATTTTATTATGAAACAGATTGAAGGTAGATCTAGACTTTGAGAGAATTTAAGCCCCTTTCAAGATTTTATGTACATAAAATGATGACAATTTTCAAGATAATAAACAAGTACTTTTATTTGTATTCATTTAGGTAGCCTGTACCAATTTTTTTTTATATATTAAGAGCATGTGTCGCTCACCTTGGTCTATGTGCATATTCAACCAAGCACACTCTCCAACATTGTAGACGAGAAAAATAATCATCATTTAAAGGCAATCACTCCTATAAAGAGTGACAGTCTACTAAATATGTCGACAAAATTTGACTTGTTAGTACATCTTGCCTTGCTGATAATTTTTGTGATTTAAAGTGTCTCATTATCTATTATGAATTATATCATACAAGGCAAAACTCGTCCATAAGGAGCAACAACTCCGAAAAGGAGTAGTCGGACAATTTCCCCAATAGAGACTTAACTGTAGATCTTGTTTTGCTGATCATTTTTGCTTATTTAAGTTTCTATCTATCTATTACATTTTTGAAGAAATAAGGCAAAAAAGCAAACAATTGGTAAAAATCATCAAAGGGCAATAACTTTAATAATGAGTCGACTGACAATTTCAACAATGTAGAGTTATTAGTAGAACTTGTCTTGCTGGTCATTTTTGTTATTTAAAATTTCTCTCTATCTATTATAGTTTTCACGATACATGTAATTGGCAACTAGCGGCTCTAAAGAGCCTGTGTCGCTCACCTTGGTCTATGTGCATTATTCAACAAAGGAGACTCTCTAACATTGTAGATGAGAACATAATTCATGACAAAAATCTCTGTTTTGTTGATCTTATATTGCTGATCATTTAGTCTGTTTAGTTTCTCTCTATCTTCTTTTGTGTTTGCTCAAAACACAATAGAGGATAAAAAAAATCCTCATTTAAGGGCAATTACTCCTATCAAGAGTGACAGTCTCCTAAATATATTGGTCATTTTGACTTGTTAGTAGATCTTGCTTTGCTAATAATTTTTGTGATTTAAAGTGTCTATTTATCTAATATAGTTTGTATCATAATCCAAAACGCATAAAAAAATGGTAAAAATCATCATTAAAGGACAATTATCCAATAAGGAATCGTTGGATGATTTCCTCCGTATTTTTGTACTTGTAGATCTTGTCTTTCTGATTATTTACGTTTGTTTCTATATAATTATAATTTTTAAGAAATAAGGCAAATCGCAAAAAAATGGTAAAAATCGTTATCAAAGGGCAATAACTCTTATAAGGAGTCGACTGATGATTTCGACCCTGTAGACTTATTTGTAGAACTTGTCTTGCTGATCATTTCTGCTTTTAAAAGTTTCCCTTTTTCTATTATAGTTTTCAGGATAAGTCATCGGACACATTTTTGAAACTAGATACCCTAATGATGATTGTGGCTAAGTTTGGTTAAATTTGGCCAAGTAGTTTCAGAGAAGATTTTAGTAAAAGTAAACAGACGACAAAGATGACAGAGGCCTAGTAATGAAAAAAGCTTACCTGGCCCTATGGGCTATGGGCCAGGTGAGCTAAAAATGAAAAGAAAATGGTTAAATTTATCATTAAGGGCAATAACTCCTATAAGATTCGCCTGACAGTTTTGAGTACATGTACAATTGGTAACTCAACATTCTGAACCTTTCTGTTCCTTTCAGATTTTCTATTATTATAACAGTTTTCAAATAAATGGAAAATGTGTCCCCATGGACACAGATGATGCCCCCGCTTGAATACAACATTATAAAGGGACATAACTCAAAAACAATAAAAGTGACGCTACCCAAATTTGTACTTGATCTGAGTTTTGTGATAATAAGTATTGTGTATAGGTTTCATAATGTTTAGTTGGGGCTAACTTAAGTTACAGAATGGAATCTAAAAATTTAGCGTTTTTTTTTCCATTTATAAAAGGGCATAACTTGAGAATGGTTAAAGTGACCCCACCAAAATTCAAAATTGATCTGTGTTTTGTCGTAATAAGCATTGTGCATAACATTTAATAGAGGCAAACTTGTTAGAGAACGGAAACTTTATTTATAAAAGGGCATAACTCTAGAACGGTTAGTGACGCTACCAAAATTTAAACTTGATCTGTATTATGTGGTAATGAGCATTGTGTATAAGTTTCATAACATTTGGTTGAGGTAAACTTTAGTTAGAGAACGGAAACTAAAAATTTTGGAATTTTTCCATTAATAAAGGGGCATAACTCTAGAATGATTAAAGTGACGCCACCAAAATTCAAACTTGATCTGTATTTTGTGGTAATAAGCATTGTGTATAAGTTTCATAACATTTGGTTTAGACAAACTCAAGTTAGAGAACAGAAACCAATTTTGGGACGTACGGATGTACGTACAGACGGACAAGGGTAAAACTTAATGCCCCTATCGCTACAGCGGGGGCATAAAAATAGACAAAACTTGCCTTTAACCCCTATGTTTTATTTATATCTATGTCAGCCATATTGGTTACCCAGTATATACTTGTTTACCATTCAACAGACGCTAATTATCCAGTACATACCTGTTTACCATTCAACAGATGCTAATTACCCAGTACATACCCGTTTATCATTCAACAGATCCTCATTACCCAGTACATACCTATTTATCATGCAACAAATCCTAATTACCCAGTACATACCTATTTACCATTCAACAGATGAGAATTATCCAGTACATACCTGTTTACCATTCAACAGATCCTAATTACCCTGTACTTACCTGTTTACCACTCAACAAATGCTAATTTTCCAGTGATACAATTCTCAATTTGTAAAAAGTTAACAATTATAGGTCAAAGTACGGCCTTCACTGCAGAGCCTTGGGTCACGTCGAACAGTCTACATACCTGCTAACATTTCAACAGATCCTAATAACCCAGTACATACACATTTACCATTCAACAGATCCTAATTACCCAGTACAATCCTGTTTACCATACAGCAGATCCTAATTACTTATTACATACCTGTTTACCATTTAACAATGCTAATTACCAAGTACATACCTGTTTTCCATTCAACAAATCATAATAACCCAGTACATACCTGTTTAGGTTCAACAGATCCTAATTACCCATTACATACCTGTTTACCATTCAACAGACCCCAAATACCCAGTACTTACCTGTTTACCATTCAATAGATTCTAATTACCCAATACACACCTGTTTACAATTCACCAGACCCCAAATACCCAGTACTTACCTGTTTACCATTCAACAGATCCTAATTACCCAGTGCTTACCTGTTTACCATTCAACAGATCCTAATTACCCAATACATACCTGGTAACCATTCAGCACATCCCAATTACCCAGTACATACCTGTTTCTGCTATTTTGACTCTTCTTACCTGCAAAAATAATTAATACTGAGTGAGATCAAAAGTGCATCAGGGCAGTTAAAGTAGGGGTCATGTTATCGTGCTCTACAAAACATGTACTCAGGTTTTGGTCACATTAAGTTTATAAAGAAGACATTTTCCTAAAACACCTATTTAATTAATAATAAACTGTTTACACAGAGATATGTCCTGCCTGTCAACATAAAATTCAGAAATACCTATTTATCTTATATCAAGCATTCTGAGAGTATTGCATGGCAATATATAGTCCCCTACCGGTTAAAAATTCATTGTACTGAAACAAAATGCTAACTTGATCTATAACTTGTCATGATGTAAACTTTATATAAAATAACAAATCAATATCTTCAAGTATGACGGAAAAAATTGTGGAAAACTGATTATTTGCATGAATTTTCAAAGTCCAAGGACCATAACTCTGCAAAATAATCATCTGAACCGAACAAAATTGAACCTTGATTTGTAACTTATCATGATTAAAACTATATACCAAATATCAAATCAATATCTTCAAGCATAAGAGAAAACTAGAGGCTCTCAAGAGCCTGTGTCGCTCACCTGACTCTACTTTGGTTTTAGAAATCATTTAAAGATACTAAGTACATAAAAATCATAACAGATACCCAAATAATGATTGATGCCGAATTTAGTTTAATATTGGTCCCGTTATTTAATAAAATGTTTAATGCTCCAATGGAGGGTCCTTCATAGGCAATATTTTTCGGACATACAATGCGATTAAAGTTATCATATTAATACAATGCGATCATAATCTTTTGCAATAATCATAACTCTTGTCATTGGGAACTCAAGAATTATTTATCATCTCTATTAATATATTATCAAACGGATCTTAAAACGTGCAATAGCCATAACTCTTGGCATGGGAAATTCAAGAATTATTTGTCATCTGTAATAATATATTATTCAACGGAATCTTTAAACGTGGTATTCCATATCGCTACCACGGCAATAGGTCAAATTAAGATAATTATCTCTAGTTTTAATTTCCAATCTTTTCATTTGTCTACTTAACAGTTCGTTTGTACAATTGTTGTATTCAGATTCCAAGATTTTAGATCTGAGTACCATCTTGGACGTTTTTAGCTTCTTTAATACAGCGCTATTGATGATAACGTCCTGTAAGGTCATACTCAGTTTCCCTCTCTGGTGTAGACCCCAGAGTGAGTCTAATGCTCCTATATCATCAAATCCTACTGCTAAAACTATTCCTGAAATTGTAAGAAATTGATAATAAAACTGGTTGTAGATTTTACAACGCGTTTAACATTACCATTGAAAGTTTGTCTCATAAAAATCCACGTGACTACATTTTACTCATTTTTAACATGGGTGACTTTTTTATTCGTCTTTGATCGACGGATTTTCTAGCAAACCACGTCACAAATAGCCGCCGCTAGATCGCCTGTCAATTACGCAAGAGAAGGAAAACTCTTTCAAACTTATAAGGCACTTTAAGGATGTTCGCTCCTCTTGTTTTTTGAATTTTTTCCAGTTATTCGGAATCCTCTAGTTTTATCCATGTAGTACCATTAAAATTTTTTACCTGATAACCCCTTCTTTTCTTTTCATTATTTTATAAAAATATAGTTTAAAAAGCTATATTTGAAAATCTTTAAAAATCCTTGTTATTTTTTCATAGCTTTTGAAAGAAAACAAGAGCCAATGTTAAATGTATGAAAAGTCTAGAGAGAATTATTTCCCGCCAATTTTTAATGGCTTATATCTTGAAAAAAAGCACACGGACCCTTCATTTATATACTATCAATTGATAACAGTCTTTTAAAAAGTTTGTTATTTTGAAACAGAGTAGCAAACATCCTTAACTTGCTGGTCATTGATTTTACAGCGCATTTAAAAATACCATTGAAATATAAAAACTATGGAGGCGTGATATGATTGTTAATGAGACAACTATCCACCAAAGTTAAAAATGAAGTGGATGTAAGCAATTATAGGCAACCGTTCTGCCTTCAACAATGAGAAAAACCCATACCTTATAGTCGGCTATAGAAGACCCCGACATGAAAAACAATTATCATAAAACAATTCAATTGAGAAAACTAAGGACCTAATTTATAACAAAACAATTTACGAAAAAAATATGACAGACATATGAAGTTTGTCTCACTCTGATAAGAGCTACGTGCCTACCACTCATTTTTAACATTTGGCGAAAGCGATGTATGTTTAATAGTATATGTTTTTTCTTTAGTTGGTGTGAGTGGATGTTTGCAAGATTTTCAACACCCCATAAAAATCTGCTTGAATTTAAAAAAAAGATTTAAAATGATAACAAGTTCCAAGCTGCATTATATCCCACGTAATTTTTTTATTTTCGTTTAAATGATCCAAGACCGATGGTTTCGCCCGTTAACTGGTACAAGAAATCAAAACAAAAACAGGAAGTATTCTGAAGGTTGTTTTACAATTATTTCTTAATAAGAATTAATCTAGTATTCTATAGTTTCAATCAAATCTATTCTTTTGTTTTCAATCTCTGATTGAATATACAGATTTGATACTGTTTAATGGCGGTAAAATCGACAATTTAGTTCTGTTTATTTTGGTGTTATGGCGCTAATGAAGTGATTTGATTCAGATGTTGATAATTATTTAGTTTTGATGAGGGTCTGGATTGGGGTCCTTCATTTCTGTATTCCCTAACTCTTTAGGCCTTTTTTCTATATTCTTCATACTTTTTGCCTTTTATTCTCTATTCTTTATATTTCAACACCTCATTATTCTCTATTCTCTATATTTCAGCACCTCATTATTCTTTATTCCCTCTATATTTCAGCACCTCATTATTCTCTATTCTGTATATTTCCCTCATCATTCTCTATTCTTTATATTTCAGCACCTCATTATTCTCTATTCTTTATATTTCATCACCTCATTATTCTCTATTCTTTATATTTCAGCACCTCATTATTCTCTATTCTCTATATTTCAGCACCTAATTATTCTCTATTCCCTCTATATTTTAGCACCTCATTATTCTCTATTCTTTATATTTCAGCACCTCATTATTCTCTATTCTTTATATTTCATCACCTCATTATTCTCTATTCTTTATATTTCAGCACCTCATTAATCTCTATTCTCTATATTTCAGCACCTCATTATTCTCTATTCCCTCTATATTTTAGCACCTCATTATTCTCTATTCTTTATATTTCAGCACCTCATTATTATCTTTTCTTTATATTTCAGCACCTCATTATTCTCTATTCTTTATATTTCAAAACCTTATTATTCTCTATTCTCTATATTTCAGAACCACATTATTCTCTATTATTTATATTTCAGCACCTCATTATTCTCTATTCTTTATATTTCAGCACCTCATTATTCTCTATTCTTTGTATTTCAGCATCTCATTATTCTCTATTCTCTATATTTCAGCACCTCATTATTCTCTATTCTCTATATTTCACCACCTCATTATTCTCTATTCTCTATATTTCAGAACCACATTATTCTCTATTCTTTATATTTCAGCACCTCATTATTTTCTATTTTTTATATTTCAGCACCTCATTATTCTCTATTCCCTCTATATTTCAGCACCTCATTATTCTCTATTCTTTATATTTCAGCACCTCATTATCCTCTATTCTTTATATAATCAGCATCTCATTATTCTCTATTCTCTATATTTCAGCACCTCATTATTGTCTATTCTTTATATAATCAGCACCTCATTATTGTCTATTCTCTATATTTCAGCACCTCATTATTCTCTATTCTCTATATTTCAGAACCACAATATTCTCTATTATTTATATTTCAGCACCTCATTATTCTCTATTCTTTATATTTCAGCACCTCATTATTCTCTATTCTTTATATTTCAGCACCTCATTATTCTCTATTCTTTATATTTCAGCACCTCATTATTCTCTATTCTCTATATTTCAGCACCTCATTATTCTCTATTCCCTTTATATTTACGCACCTCATTATTCTCTATTATTTATATTTCAGCACCTCATTATTCTCTGTTCTTTATATTTCAACACCTCATTATTCTCTATTCTCTATATTTCAGAACCACATTATTCTCTATTATTTATATTTCAGCACCTCATTATTCTCTATTCTTTATATTTCAGCACCTCATAATTCTCTATTCTTTATATTTCAGCACCTCATTATTCTCTATTCTTAATAATACAGCACCTAATTATTCTCTATTCTTTATATTTCAGCACCTCATTATTCTCTATTCTTTATATTTCAGCACCTCATTATTCTCATTATTCTCTATTCTCTATATTTAAGCACCTCATTATTCTCTATTCTTTATATTTTAGCACCTCATTATTCTCTATTCTTTTTATTTCAGCACCTCATTATTCTCTATTCTTAATAATTCAGCACCTCATTATTCTCTATTCTTTATATTCAGCACCTCATTATTCTCTATTCTTTATATTTCAGCACCTCATTATTCTCTATTCTTAATAATTCAGCACCTAATTATTCTCTATTCTTTATATTTCAGCACCTCATTATTCTCTATTCTTTATATTTCAGCACCTCATTATTCTCTATTCTTTATATTTCAGCACCTCATTATTCTCTGTTCTTTATATTTCAGCACCTCATTATTCTCTATTCTTAATAATTCAGCACCTCATTATTCTCTATTCTTTATATTTCAGCACCTCATTATTCTCTATTCTCTATATTTCAGAACCACATTATTCTCTATTATTTATATTTCAGCACCTCATTATTCTCTATTCTTTATATTTCAGCACCTCATTATTCTCTATTCTTTATATTTCAGCACCTCAGTATACTCTATTCTTTATATTTCAGCCCGTCAGTATTCTCTATTCTTTATATTCCAGCACCTCATTATTCTCTATTCTTTATATTTCAGCATCTCATTATTCTCAATTCTCTATATTTCAGCACCTCTTTATTCTCTATTCTCTATATAATAAGCACCT